GCCAGGGCGTCCCTTGTCTCTAACCCTGGACCTAGCCAGCCCCTGGCTGGGCACTTTCCCATGCCAAATCCTTGTCCCTCTACGCCATGTCGGTGTTTGCTGTGCGTCCTTATTTGACCACTTCCACACAATATTCCCTTGATGCCCCAGCCACAGTCCCAATTGGGGTCCTTTCGGGAAAAAATGTAATTCACCCATACTAACCTCTCTATTCGGGTATCCCCGTCCCTCCCATCACTACAGAACATGGCAATCTCATTTAATCCTTGGCTTGATCAGTCCGTCCCCGCCCACCTGGTTGCGCTCCCGCCCCCCACACACAGCACTTTACCAACCTCTTATCTCCATCCACATCCCCTCGCTCCTACAATTTGATTGCACCCCCACGCCTGTAGAAGCACGCAATGCCAGCCCGCCCCAATGCGCCACCACTGCCGCGCCAATGAACACTAGAGCGCTGATCGCAACACTTGTCCTTGATCACCGACATCCATCAGATTAGCGCCTGTCCTTCGTACTGTCTTGCCTCTCTACAAAAGATATTTCTGCGCCCCCATCAGCGCTCCAACGCCATCTATTTTTCACGCCATTGCGCCACGACACCCCGAGCCCCGAGCCACCTTTTTCGCGCGGCGGCGGCGGCCCCACGCGCATTATCGTTTGATTGCAACGATGGTTACCATCTGTCACTCCTCAACGCGTCGCGTCCACTGCCGCTCGACGCTCGTCCCTCAGGAAATTTAGACACTTAAATATCCTCAGGCTAAGTCCCTGTAACCCATGCCTGCTACCCACTGCGATGCACAGCGCGCTGGCGACAAGCACAACCTTAAACTCTCGCTTCTACCCTTCGCGATGCGATGGCAATCAATGACAGATCGCAATGCCAACTTCCGCTTGGCACTCCTCCTCCCCCTTCCCCTCGAGAATTATTCACCAACACCACCTCCGCCTGGCGCCTACCAACTGCCTCCAAGGATGCAGCATCGCGGCCTGCATTGCACGGCAAGACCTCCCCCTCCTGCCCTACTTTGATCCCAACCATATTCACATGGAAACCATATTCCGATGTCTTGGCGCACACACGGAGACACACGGAGCATAGACAAAGAAAGCAAAAAGGTGTACATTCACATCACAGATATGTAGGTTAGGCTTAGAATTAGTCTGTTCTCTACTACTCTGTAAATGGTCTTCCTTAGCACAAGCACTTCACCGTTTCCACAATTGTAACATACCGTCTCCAAATAATGCGGGCAACTCGCCCTCTTCCAGTACCACCGCAGAAGCAACGTCTTTCAGGGGCACACTAAGTTGTGTGAAGAAGAAAGCACAGAGGGACCGGTGTAGATCCGCCTGTCGGAGGGCGTACGCCTTGAGCCCAGCCTCTGTCGCTGCCAACACGTCGTCCTGTGGCAGATTTGCCCGTGCGTCCCAGCCCACCGTCTCCCACTGCAAGTACCACAAGACACGGCGCATCTCCTCGCGTATAATATTGACCTCCTCCTCCCATTGATTCTTCTGCGCCTTCGCCCGCGCCCACTCGACACGCAACGCTATCCCAGCATCAGATAGTGCTTCTCATTAGCAGGACTTGATACTCACATTCATGGAGCTCCTGCTCGTCTGAATCGAGCGCTGCCTGCGCGGCCCAAATCCAAGAGAGGACCTTCTTCGACGACCCGGCAATATGGCGTGGCGTCCTCACCCCCTTTCCAGCACTGGTGAGCGCCAGCTTCTTCCGTGCCGCCGTCACCTCAGGCCACCCTTATGTGATACCCTTTAGGTATATTATTTATACTGACTTAATATATCTAAAGGGGGGTTTCCTTAGGTGGGTGTCCCACCTGACATGGGATATCCCACATTTTATAGGATATTACTGTGGGATGTCCCACACCTTTTCAGGAGGGACATCCCATGCGGACCCAAAAAGTATGAGGGATATCCCACTGGCCCATTTTGCAGGCAGGACCCCCGACACCTGCCCTGGAGAAAAGGTGAATTTTTAGGCTCATTTTTCCACCGATTTCTATGTTTGAGGATGATTCTTGGAGCCCGTTCTTAGGGCTTTCATCCTAGGTATAAGTTACCTTTATGAGAGCACATTTATTTTGGCATAATACCCAGCATCTGACAGTACTGTCCACTGCCCATGTTGCATTGAAAGCACCAGTCTGTTCAAAGATCCTGCCAGTGGCTGGTGCCTGATACTCGAACCATGCCACATAGGTGTGCTCCCCTCCATGAGGCCACCACTTGTGATTGTTCCAAAACACCACCCTTCACTGTAACTGATACTGTACATGCATATTGAAGAATCATCACTCTTTATAGAATTACAAGGGGCTGGTTGGCCGCTTCATGGCCTCCCATCCCCTTTTCTAAAATTCTTACTTGGTTTCTGTGAAATGACGGTGGCGCTGAATTGATATTCAATTGTCTTTACTGCGTACTTGGTTGAGCTGAGCCGAGTTGAGTTTTAGTGACTCCGTTCTTATTATGTGTACTATTTTCACGCTCGCACTTGTTCGCCGCGGCAACCTTTGTTGCGGGTTGGTGGGAGCCATCTGTCAACATTAGCGCCGAGGCAAAGTTTATTAGAATGGTGACGTTAATGCCACCAATGCCGAAGGATTGCTCGGTGTTGTGCCGGTGGGAGAGAGTACTCCGAAACTGGATGCGGTGATACAGCATCAGCGGAGATGAACAGGGTTTAAAAAGCTTCGGACGGACAAAATGCTCCAGGCATACGGAAGTGTAGAGCGTCATCAAATGAAGTCATCGGAGCTCTAAGACCCATCAAAGAAGTCATCGGAGATTGAAAAGGCTTCGGACAGACAGACGGACACACGTAATTTTATAAAGAGGGTGATGTATGTCCAAGTGAATCCATTTTAAATTCCACTTTGTAGACTCTGTTCCTCAGGTCACTTACCAAGGCTAATCCAGGAAGATTTGGTAATGAGAGGACGTGTTCCACTCAATCATGCAACCATTGAGCTTATATTGCTTTGCTGTTTATCGCCTGCTTTATCGTGATTGTGCTATTACTATGAGAGAGAATTGAACTTTTAAACAAACAACTGTAAGTAGGTCAAGTTCTGCACTCATGCCATATCTGCACAATTACCTCCTTGAAATAAACTGGCATCATGAGGCCATTCTCGTTCCCCATGCTGATTGTCCTCTTCCTTAATCAAAGTACTGACATGGTCCCGCTGTGCTCTTGTAATGGTAAGTATTGATTCATTTTGCAAACAATACAGTAACTTTACCCTTACCAGATTATATAGTGAGGATCTGGTCACAACTGGATAACTGAGTTGACTGACTACCTGCTACCAAAATGTTGCGATCTTTAAGCTGCAACATCTGTGACAATGGCACCTACCATATGGTGGGACTGGGACATCCCACTCGTTTTTTCATCATGGTGGGACATCCCACTCATTTTTTGATTGGCGTGGGACATCCCACACATTCTTTCATGCCGGTGGGACATCCTACACATTTTTCCATTGCTGTGGGACATCCCACACATTTTTTCATTGCTGTGGGACATCCCACACACATTTCTTTGTGCCAGTGGGACATCCCACACATTTTTCGTGCCAGTGGGACATCCCACGCATTTATTTTGCTTGGTGTGGGACGTCCCACCCTATGTTTTCATTGTGGTGGGACATCCCACTCTCACTGTACACATTTCTTCATTGCTGAGGGACATCCCACACATTTTTTGTGCCAGTGGGACATCCCACTCTATGTTTTCATTGTGGTGGGACATCCCACTCTGTTTTTAGCACTGTGGGACATCCCACCTATTTCTATTCCAATGGGACATCCCACCTGTTTGTTTGTTTGTTTGTTTTTTTTTGCTGTGGGATATCCCCCCCCCCCCCCCCCATGCTGGTGGGACATCCCACTCCCTTTTTTATTCCTGTGGGACATCCCACCCATTTTTCATTGCTGTGGGACATCCCATCCAATTTTCTCACTGTTGGTTTAATTATCTCATTCTTGCTTTATTCTCACTCTAGGGATTGTAAACAAGTCAGTGAATTCTTAGTTGTTGTAAGTTGTGCTGAAATTGAGGGAACCCATCAATTGCTGCCTCATAGTGAGATCTGCTTGGAATTTAATTGCTCTTGTTGAGCAATATTAGAGAACGACAGCCGGTGCCCAGTACCATTCCGAGCTGCCTTGTAGTGAGATCGGGTTGGAATTACTCTTGTCTCTTGTTGAGCAATATTAGAGAACGACAGCTGGTGCCCTGTACCATTCCGAGCTGCCTCGTAGTGAGATTGGCTTGGAATTGCTCTTGTTGAGCAATATTAGAGAACAACAGCCGGTGCCCAGTACCATTCCGAGCTGCCTTGGTAGTGAGATCGGGTTGGAATTACTCTTGTCTCTTGTTGAGCAATATTAGAGAACGACAGCTGGTGCCCTGTACCATTCCGAGCTGCCTCGTAGTGAGATTGGCTTGGAATTGCTCTTGTTGAGCAATATTAGAGAACAACAGCTGGTGCCCTGTACGTACCATTCTAATACTATCATAAATAATTACAGGTGTGTGTGTCCAACATCATCAGAAGTACTCGTAAAGAAGTGGAAAGAAGCGGAAAAAAGATAGCAAATATATGATACAAGCCCCAGTTGAATGAGGTTTGAGTAGATACCCGATGGTCCATTACAAATCAACCCTCAGCCAAAAGTCAAATAAATCATGCCATGCATGCATTCATTCAAACTGCAGTGCGTCACCCATTCTTCTTCTATTTCCTCCTTTAAAGCTAGCATTTTTTTCGCTGCAAGTGACGCAGGGCATTTCCCGTTTGAGACCATTAACGCCTGGGTTCAAATTTGGCAGGTTCCAGATTAGATTAACTCCATTAATATTATCTTCAAAATTAAAATAGTTCCGAGACTCCACGGTCAGTTTTTTCTTTTTTCTTTTTTTCCTTCAGGTAGGCAAAAACTATCGTCGAAATCAGCCAAGGCCCTGCTGGGGTTCAAACCCAGGACCGCCAGCTTATGTCATACGACACAATGCTCACGCCGTTATCCTCTCGGCTACAAGGCCATTACAGTCATGGCAGTGGGCCGACCATACCCCAGCCAAAGTCCAAATAAATCATGCCATGCATCCATTCAAATTGCTAGGAGTCGGCTTTGTTGTTCCGATATATTTCCGCCCTCTCCATGGCATCCAGCACCCCAAAATCATTGTCTTCTCCGCCGCTTTCCTCGCCAGGATCCCCCTCGTCATCTCCTTCATCATTTTCCTCTCCATAATGCCTGTCCTCCCCACGCGCTGCGAGATGCGCGTCCACACGACACCGCACCAGCTGAACCGCCGAGGATCCCCACGGTGGCATCGCTGCTATGTTGACGCCCATGTCAGGCAAGGACTTGTCCCATGTGGCACACAGGCGAACAAGCCTGTCCTGTTGCAGCCGTAGATGGTATTCATCGACGTCAGACACTGAAGGTGCTGTTAGCTGAGTATTGAATCCCGCTTGAATCCACGCGACGTACCAGCTCCTTCAATTGCCTCAGTAATCATTTTCTATTCTTCTCCGAACCACACCCGCAATGCCAACTTCTCCCTCCGCAACCGTGCATCTTCTTCATCGCACCGATCCAGCTCCAGAAAAGCCTTGATGCCGGTGCGCACTTTCTCGTCACATAGCCAAGGTGGTGGCTCGTCATTGTCGTCGTCCCTGTCGTCTAATCCCACGTCCTGGAAGATAGCATCGTCGACATCAAGCTGCCACAGCGCCTTTGGCGGTATTGGGATTGGCGCCATCGACCCTGAAGGTGCTTTGCGATCGCAGATGAGCTTCGCCATCTGTGCGCAGAGTTTGTTGTACTCCGTTACCAGCTTGGCGATCGTGGGTTCCCGACGTTTCACAGCTGACTCTGTGTGTGCGCGTAGTTTTGCGTCTAGATATCAGTGAGTTTATACCGGCCAGACTGATATTATAACAGTCACCATTAAGTAGCCGTCGATAGGCATGTTCCACGACATCCATCTCAAACTTCCTCACTCGCAGCCGCTCCCGCAGTCGCAGCTTCAAAGCGCGGGTGTTCATACGGAGCCGCATGTACTCGCTATTCGCGAGCTGCTCCAGCTCCTCGTGCTTGTCGACGCCCAGGGTCTCCTCCTTCCGTCGCAGAGTTCCTTCAGCTTTCTGGAGAGCCTGTTGAATTGCCAGGTACTCCCCCTGACACATGGCGGCGTCGGGGTGGTCTTGCTGAACAGCGTCAAGGAACCTCTGGCGCAGCTCGCGCACTTGGCCCTGGCGTGTTTTCACAGCCGCACGCAGAAGCATCACCGCGTTCACGGCCTGCTGCCCCCGGGTTTTTGATCGACCTACAAACAAGTCAGTTAATGTACTTGACAAATTATTTGCACTATATTCACGCACGCGGTAAAGGCTTTGTTTGTGCGATAACCTGCATCTTCCACTGCTCGCGCAACAGGGTCTTGGGTTTCCCGCACTTCCGTAGGGCCTCGGTGGCGTCAGCGCGCTTCTGCACGCTGTGACGATAACGGCGATGGATCCCCTCCGCGAGGCGGAAAAGGCTCATCTCCTGGGCGTGCTCGATCTGGGCGTCCAAGATGTAAAGGCGGTTATGATACTGAGGAATAAATTAGCCAAGTTTCTCGATGCAAAGATAGAAGATGTAGCCCGGAGATACGCAAATGCGGAATCAAGTGCCGTATTGACTGCCAGAACCGCTCACACCCCTCCCCGTTGGTATACCCAAACCCCACGCGCTTCCGAGGATGATAGAGCAGCTGGCATGCCCACTCATGCCCGAACGCATGGAAGACCGACACCACGAAGGCGATTTGATCCATGAAGGGCGACAGGAATCCCCACTTCAGGCAGCTGCGCTCGAAGGCGCAGGCGACATCGTACAGTAGACCGACCCGAATGTCGTGTGGGAGGTGCTGGAACAATGTATACATCAGGGCCATTACGTAGAATTGCCTCTCGCCCGCTGTATGCATGTTGGCGACCCAGAGGACGCGGTCGTGGCGACAGACCAGGGCCATGAGGGCAGTGTTTTCGAAGAACTCCGTACTTGCTTTCTGCCGCTTTTCATCGGCCGCCTTGAAGGACGCCTCACATCCGTCGAGGACGGAGCGAGGTAGGAGGAGCCTCTCATGTTCATATCCATCTTCCTCTTACTCCACCGCTTGCGCCGCGGCCCGACATTTACGAGGCCTCACGCTCTTGTGCGACGCATTGCGCACGCCATCCACATACGCCTCGGTTAGCGCTGCCTGCTCCTCGGGAATGAAGTGCGTATCTGGGTGGTTTTGGGGGGATCCCACGGAGACTTCTTCTTCTTATGTGTGAAACAGGCGTCGATTCACACGTGGACGTTGGCTCTGCAGGCGAAGTTAGTCATGGGTGGCATGGTATCCGCTGAACTTACACTTGTGAGGGGTCATGCTTGAGGTTCCCGAAGCAAGCAGGGCATCGACGCCGCAAGTATTCGCTTGGTTGCAGTCTAGGGGGCGGTTCAGGGAACGGGACTTGTGGAGCTTCGGGCGACGACTCCCTGCCGTGTTTGCCTCTCCCGGTAGTCGGGGTAGCAGTAGCGGCGGACGAAGAGGCTGGCGACGCGCTTGAACTACGAGGACGGCGCAGGGTAGGGGTGCCTGAGAATGAGGCTTCCCGAGCCGAAGCCCGCTCGCTTAAAAGCCCGCGCAGTGGGGACTCAGCACTTGAGCTACAAGGATGGCGCGGGGTAGGACTGCCTGACGATGAGGCTGCCTGAGCCGAAGCCCGCTCGATGAAACGCCCACGCGGTGAGGGGGGGAAGCTGGCACCTTGGGGCCAACTAGCTCCTCACGCATTGTGTCGATGATGCCGCTGTAGTGATGCTTCAAGAGGTTGCGGAGATGGATGTACCACATAAGGCAGTTACCGAATCGCCGTCGCAAAGAGTTCTGTGCGATTTCGTGATTAGCAAATCTGTCAGGGACGAGGGAAGGCAAGCTCACCTGGTGCTCAAGCTGAAATCCCATGTTCGCCAGCACTCGCTCCAACGTCAGGCTAAACGCGGTGTTGTTCGGAGAGATCTGCAGGAACAGATCCATCGCAAATTCCAGAACGCGTAGATCCACGGCCAGCGACGGCAGCATTGGAGCGCAGCCAAATGCACCCAGTTGCATCAACTGCACAGCGGCCGGGGTGCAGTCACAGACGTGGATTTCCATGTCTTCTATAGCTGGAACGAGTTAGAAACCAATATTGGGGGTCGAAAAATGACACACATAAAAAATGCACCACGGCGACTCAATGGCTCCTCTGATTGCACGCACAGGACAGTGTTTGCGGGCGGCGTCCGTCTAAGTCGCGCAGAGACTTTGTTTCGTGTAACAGGCGCGCCAATTCCAGCAGGAGCATCGGTAAGACCGACCGCTGCCACCGTTCCCACTGGGCCGCCCGCTTGCGCCGGTGTTGTCCTGGGTCGGGCGGCGGCGTACGCTCCATGAATATAATGTCAGGATCCGCCGCCGCCGCTTCCGCAAAATCTTCTGCCGCACGATCCTTGTCCGATACCGGGGGTGCCGCACGTCCGGCGTGTGACATTTCCGTCAATCCAAAATGAGTGAGCAGGGTGGGGAGGCGGGGCTGCACGAGAGTTCGTCCGTCATGCAGTAAAACGTCGGGACGACGCGCTCTGAGATCCAATTTGCGCCAGGGATCAGGCACTCGCGGTCCTTCTTGCAGAGTGTAGGTCGGGGAGGATGTTGCTGCCGCATGCCGCGCCTTCAGGGTGAGCTTCAAGACTCACATCTGCTACCCGCAGCCGTGCACGACGACCACGACATTGCTGCTCCCAGCGCCAACGGCCTGGAAGGGGTTAACGCGATTGCCGACGACTTGGAAGACATGCTCACCTTGAAAGACATGCTCGCCTTGGAAGACTTCCTCGTCGATGCAGATGCCACTGAAGAAAATCAGATGTGGCCCTCCCTTCTTGCTTCCCCGTCTCCCCCGCCGCCATCTTCGCCTCAACGTGCGACTCCCCCTCGGCGCTCCCGCGACCCTGCATACAAAGGGCTGGAAATGCCAGCGCACGAGTCCTCCGCGGTGCCACCTCTGCCAGCGGGCGTGAGATTTGCCCTGGTCGAGCGAGAGGTCAAGCTCAGGCAAATGAGAGCGGCAAGCAAAGTCAATCGGCCACTGGGACTCGTCCTTGACCATGATGGACGCATTGTCCCGATTGTCACGCGAGACAACGCTGAGAATCTGTCTCGCGACGACGACAGCGGCAGCGGAGAGGATAGTGATAATTGGTCTGACGCTGCTCGCAAGCGCGAACGGGAGATAAAGAAGAAGAAAAAGTACTCGCCACACCTTCAAACAGAGGAGGAGGCAGATAGGGACGACGAGGAAGAGTTCGAACAGACGGCGGTGGCAAGTAGCGACGAGGGCAGGAAGAAGTCGAAGGGGAGGGCAAAGGGTAAGCGCCCAAAGGCGATGGCTACGGCGAAGTCGAAAGGGAAACAGACGGTGGTGGAGAACGGTGTGGAGTCGGACACCGACGACAGCGGCGACTTGGATTCAGAGGGCGAGCCTACCGGCGCTCCGGTGGGCGGATATACTTGCAGACCTCTTCCCAAGGCATGCAAGGAAGATGTGTTGGCGGCAAAGCAGGTGCACGACTCGGCCTTGGCGGAGATTGCGGCAAGATACAATTGTCCGCTGCGCACGATTCTGGAGTTGGTTGGGGATGCGACTCGAATGCCGAGGAAGAAGCCGCTGTGGAACATGTTTCAGACATGGTACGCACGAATGGACCCTAAAACAAAGCTGATTGATAGTAAGTCCGTTCCCGTTCGAGACACGCGTTAAACTTACCAGGACATCTCTAGTGCCCGCAGGCGAGTGGGTGAAGTTGGTGAAAGCCGAGTTCGACGCCATGGTCGACGACCTTGATCCCGACGATTGTGACGACCCCGTGGCGCTGGAGGAGCGCTTCAAAGAAATCACAGAGTGGCACATCGACACCATGACCACCGAAGTCGCCCACCTGAAATCCCAGGGCAAAATG